CCTCCACACCGCTGACATAACGCCTCCTCTACAAACTGCTTGCTTGTTAAAGTTTGTTCAGCTCGGCTGGCATTAAGTCTGTTGCACGATTCCGCCGCCTGCTGGTTTAGAGCGTCTATGCACAAACTGAGCGAACAGAAGCTGGTATCGGTCCTGTAGTATTGGAGCACTTATATAAGTACGAGTACGAATTAACGCACATGGTATTGGACCGATACCCGATACTGGTATCCGTATCGGTGCATCCCTAGTTATAGCGCTTTATAAATAAAGATTGATTGATTGAAACACATACGTTTATTAATTTATTACATAACTTTACCTTCATGCAGGGCAGGTGGTTCTGGTAGCGGATCGAAAAAAGAAAAAAAAAGTCCTTGGAAAAGTCGGATCAACTCTTGATTACTTCACTACGATAAATTATTATTGACAATTATCACGAGGAGTCCTTAACTTTAAGACCAATTTCCTAGGGGAAACACTGGGTGCAGAACCATTTTATATATACACACACGACATCTGTAACTTAGTTGTAGTAAAACTTGTCAGATTGTTTTAGAAATGTAACTGTGATGTAATGTAAATGTGTGTAACAAAAGAAGTCAAAGTGAACCATTTGCTCCATACTGTTCTATAACAGCTTCGTTGGTATTTTAGCAGCTTTTTGCACCAGGAAGAAAGTAAATAACAACATACTGCATAAGATAAACTAATCAGGTTCTTCCATTTGTTTCAGCTTTTCCCGCTCTGCGCTCTGGGTGGGCACTACCTCCTTCATGATACTGGTTCTTCCTGTAGTGTTTGAGACAGAGAGGCTACAGCTGGAGCAGCAGCAGCTACAGCAGCAGAGACAGGTCYGTTTTTATTTAGCCACCACAGACTGGATCACACTTATTAGGAAAAAGTGTTTTGCGTAAGTGGGAAAGCTACTATTTGTTAACTTTCAAACAAACAAACATATGTTTMTTCTCCCCTTTCAGATCCTGTTGGGGCCAAACACTGCTGTTTCTGGGGGGATGCCGGGCATGATGCCTCCTGCTCTTGGCAAGATGTGAAGAGCAGGAGAGGATGACCTGAACCTGAGATCTGCTGCCAGCCACACAGCTGGGCCTTTCACAAGGAGAGACAGGGAGACCACAGAGAAGAGCGACAAAATGCAGTTTTTATTTTAACAAAYGCAAAAGCTTCATTAGGCTCCCTCTAGCAATCAGAGTAGCTGTGAGGCCTGACTCTGCACTCTCACTGTCTTTTCTTATTCCCAACATCATGCAGAGACTTATACCCTGCAGCATTCTTTTTACTGTTATTATTCTTTATTTTAAATGCTTATTTCAGCATAAATAACCGGTTTGTTAGTGAGATATCAAATATTGGTGGATAGAGGAGGAAGTCAGATGGTTGTCTGGGGTATGGCTTCTGTTTGGGGGAAATGTCCATCTTTGTTTACTTGCTGATTGCACTCGTACGGAAAACTGATGGTAGTTACAAATGACCGAATTGTGACAAACAGAGCTTGTTGTTGACTGTAACATCTTCCAATTCTGTATTAAAAATGGCACTCTGAACTCTACYGTGTGGTGTTTTGCCACTTCATTCATCACAGTTCTGTTTGGAATGTGAGTGTGTACGTACAGTGTCGCTCCTTTAATACCTTCCATTGTTTTGTTTTTCTGCTATAAACATGTTGCCACCAAACTAGAAGTTTTCTGCCTCATTAAATAATCTTTGAAATGCATCATATGGGTTTTTATTTTCCCTATGGTCATTTGTGGAACAGTCCCTCTGCAGGGTTAACATGACTGGAAAAATAAAAACGCCAAATACAAAAGTCCTGTTTATTTGTGGTATTTGATTACCTGTTATTGATTATTTTTAAAAGAAAGCATAGGAGAGATTACAAAATTTATTACTATATATGC